CACTTCTGTACCTTTAACCCTAAATCCTGTCCCCAAGTGCCCTATCTGCACCTCTACCCCTAAATTGTGTCCCCAAGTGCCACATCCACTGCTTGACCCCTAAATCCTGTCCCCAAGTGCCACATCCACTCCTTTAACCCTAAATCCTGTCTCCAGGTGCCACCCCCACTCCTTTACCCCTAAATCCTGTCCCCAGGGGCCACATCTGCACCTCTACCCCTAAATCCTGTCCCCAAGTGCCACACCCACTCCTTTACCCCTAAATCCTGTCCCCAGGTGCCGCCCCCACGCCTTTACCCCTAAATCCTGTCCCCAAATGCCACATCTGCACCTCTACCCCTAAATTGTGTCCCCAAGTGCCACACCCACTCCTTGACCCCTAAATCCTGTCCCCAGGTGCCACCCCCACTCCTTTCCCCCCTCCAGGGGTGGCAGCTCCGCGCTGGCAGCTTTAAGGCTTCTCTCTCTCTGCTGCTGCCACTGGTCCCGACTGGGAGCAAACTGGTCCCGACTGGGAGGGCTGGAGCCACCAGATGGTGCTGCCACCGCGGGCACACCCCGGGCACACCCCGGGCACACCCCGGGCACACCCCGGGCTCATCCCGGGCACACCCCAGGCACACCCCGGGCACACCCCGGGCACATCCCGGGCACATCCCGGGCACATCCCGGGCACACTCCGGGCACACCCCGGGCTCATCCCGGGCACACATCGGGCACACTCCGGGCACACCCCGGGCTCATCCCGGGCAGGATCCGCCCTCTCCGCAGCTCAGAATTCCCAGGAATTCCCTCCCCGTGCCAGGGATGCTGCTCTGGCTGGGCCAGATTTATAGATAAAAATAATAATTCCCCATGACTTAATAATAATAATTAATTAATAATTAAATCATAAATGTAAGCAAATGAAATTATAAATATTCATATAAATTTAATATGACTATTAAAGAATAATTGAATCATTAAATAAGAAATTCAATTCTAAATAGCAGTATAAATTTAATATAAATATTAAAGACTAATTACATCATTAAATAATTAATTAAATTATAAGTATTGGTAGAAATTTAATACAAATATTAAAGAATCATTACATAATTAGATAATTAAATTATAAGTATTGGTATAAATTTAATATAAATATTACATAACAGTTAAATAATGGATTTAATTATAAATTTGAGTATAAATTTAATACAAATATTTAAATAAATAATTAATTAAACAATGTGCTGGGCCCGTGGAGCCTGCTCCTTGTCTGGGTTCAGGAATAATTCCATTTATTTCTCCTGCAGGTCAGACTGACGGCGACTTCTCCAAATTCCCCAGCAGGTTCCCTGCTCGTTCCTCCTCCCAAGTTGTGTTTTGTGCCCCAGAAAATCATCCAGGCTCTTAAAGTCCTACGGTTTTAAGGCAGTTTTGGGGTTGTCTTGCTCTTCTGGATGAAAGGGATGCTGCTCTGGGCCGTGCCCAGGGTGGATTTGGTTCCCTCCATCCATTTTTTCTCTCTGCTCATCCATTTCCCCCAAGGATTCAGAGCTGGTCTGGCTCCCTGGGCTCAGCAGCACATCCCAAGGGATCCCAAAAGCCTTGGCCTGGGGTTCCCTCCTGGATTTACACCAAAAACGGATGGAAAGGGCTCTTCTGGCTCTTTGGAAGGCTGGGATTGAGCAGGAAGATGCTCTCACACGGAAAAAAAAATGCATCTTAAAGCTGCCTCTCAACAAGCACCACATCAGTCCTGCCCAGGCTGAGCTTGTTCTCTCAATATCCTCATCCTGAATATCCCAAACTGGAAGGGACCCACAGGGGTCAGGAAATCCAGCTCCATGACGCCCTCAAATATTCTATTTAATGTCTGTGCACTGAAAATCCTCCTCAGCAGAGCACAGCCCCACCTGGAAATCCCCGTCCAGGGGAGCCCATCATACAAGTTTTGTCCTCTGAATGTTCTCCAATCAGAAAAAGAAAAAATAATAACAAAAATTATGGCCACATTTGATAGAAAGTAATACTGTTTAGACTGAGAATGCTCAGAGGAAAAAAAAAATCATTAACCAGTAATTTAAAAATACTCTTAGTGGAGAGGAAAAGGCAGAAAAGAATTCTTCCAAAGATCCCACTTGTGCTCAGTGCTTTGACACTTTCCAGCACCCTTCACTGCAGTTTCATGCATCTCCCCCCTGTCCAGGTGAGGTGCCCGAGCCCTTTCCTGCACCCAGGAGACTCCAATTGGGAAGCAGAAAAATCCTGGAGCCCCAGAGGAAGGAGACTGTGGGGCTCGGGAGGGTTTCCCAGGGCAGATTTCCATTTTTGGTGGTCGGACCAGAGGCATTTCCTGCCCTTCCCGGCCTGAGGGGGGCTGGGAATCCGAGTTAATCTTTGACCGCGGCTGCAGCCCAGGCAGGAATGTCTTTGTCCAAGTGGAGCAGAAGTCTCATTTTTGGGAGATGCCGTAAACTCGCAGCAGAGGCAGAAAAATGTCATTCCTGCAGTGACGGGGCAAAAGCTGCTTTTTGCTTTGCCTGACCCGTGGTGGCTGTGTCGGATTTAGAAACAGCCAAAGGTCACTCGGTGTCCACCCTGCTGATCCATCGTGGCGGGGCTGTGCCTTCCCATGCCAGCAGAGGGAGAGCCCTGTCCCCCTTCCCTCCCTGCCCCTCTCCAGACCCGAAATGAGACGGGATGCAGCAAACCCCCCCCGGGCTTTCTCATCCCAAATAATTCCTGCAGCTTCCAGCTTCCCTTGAAGCCGAGCCCCGGGAGCTGCTTGGAGCTTCATGTGCTGCCAGCAGCCAGCCTTTCTTGTCCTTTGAAAAACCCCCATGGCAAAGCACGAACTGCCTTTTTTCCAGGGAATATCCTCCCTGCAGCACCCACCTTGCTCAGCCCGGGTGGGTTTGGGCAGCACTGAGGTCCTGTAGGGTGTGGGAAGAACCTGGTCCCGCTCTGTTGCTCCCAGGGTGATGCCACCAACTCCCAGAGGTGTCTGGGCACCTTCTGGGGATCCTTTGCTCAACAGCTGTGAGGAACTGATAGCCCTAAAATCTGGAAGGCAGCACTTCCCCTCTTGCCACTTGTGGTAAGGAGCTCTGCAGAAAACCCCAAAGTTTCTGCCAGCTTGGGCAGCAGCGGGGAATTTCCTGCATTTTGGGGAGCTGAAGCCCCCTGGAGCCTCCTGCTCTGTGTCCTTACCAGGCTCCCCACCGACCACCAGCATCTGGAGAAGGGAGAAACATTATTTGTGTGGAACCATGGAATGGTTTTGTTGGAAGGGACACGGGCAGGGACATCTCCCACTGTCCCAGGGTGCTCCAAACCCCATCCAAGCTGGCCTCGGGCACTTCCACACCTTTCCAGGCTCAGCAGTGCACAACTGGAACTTCTCCTGGACTTCCCAGAGCTCGATCCTCCTCACCCTCAGCCCATCCCAGCCATCCCCTGCTCCAGATCCACACCAGGAGAGCTGTGCTGAGATGAGGGACCCACATGGGATGCATGAACTGGAGAGGAGCCCTCGTCCTGCTGGGACAGGCACCCATTAACCCGACCTCCCAGCCCTGAGCGTGTCCAGGAAGAGCTGAGGAAACGTGGGATGCAGAGGCTGCGCAACGCAGGCTGGTGAGGACACGCTGGGACATTTCATCATCCCTCACTCAGGATCAAACCACTGCTCCCAAAATCCCTCTTTTATGGCCCTTGCTGGGCTGTAAATCTCTGGCTTCCACTGCTGGCGCCTTTGGGGGAAAACATCCGGCTCCAGCAACCTTTGATGCTCTGGAGTGCGTCACTCCTGGTTGTGGGGCTCGCAGAAAATCCATTGCAAAAGCAGAACTTGGGCATTTCGGGGTTTCTGCCGGGTCTTGCTCAATGGCACCGGAGAGGTCGGGGCCTCTTCCTGCACCCGGCCACGCCAAGGCTCCATTCTGGCTCTGGATCAGCACACTTGGCACCCAGGGATGGTGGAGGGGGCTGGTGCTGGGGTGGACATGGAGATGCCCAGAGGGGAGGGAATGGTGTGGTGGATCTGCCCTGGTGCCCTCCGGGGGTGATGCTCCTCTCCTTTCCTCCCTGGATTTGGGGGGCTGGGGGGCTGCAGTCACCCTGGCTGATGAAATCCCTGGGAGAGGAATCACAGCAGCCTTCGGGCTCTGGGAATTCCCTCCGGGAAGGTGCTCCAGGAGGGGAGCTGGAGGGATGGGTCATGGCCCACTCCTGGTGCCCAAATCCGCGTGGGATCAAGCCCTGGAGATAAACCTGAGCTTTCCCTGTGAGCCCCACGTGGGATTTCCTTCCGAGGTGGGAAGGGAAAAGCAGTGACATGGGGACCTGGGGGTTCCTGCTCCTCCTCACCCATCCTCTGCAAGGACGGGTCCAGAGCAGGGCAGCGGAGCCAGGGCCGGGGCAATCCCCTCCCGTGACCCCGGTCACCCCGACAAACTTCTCCTTCCCCGCGTTTTAGGGTGAAACGCTCGGCTTTGCCTCAGGCAACCCCTTGAGCAAGCGGCTGAGAAAAGCCGGGGCAGGGCTGGAGTGAGTCCCGCGGAGGAGCGGGGACAAAGAGCCCCAAATCCCGGGATTAGCGCGCGTTCCTCCCCGGCGGGAGCGCAGCTGCAGCGCGGCCGCCTGGATCGACCTCGGGACACCGGGAACGGCCTCGCCTGCCCCGGGGCACCGGCCCGTTCCCCCCCGCGACCCGCAGCTCCTCATCCCTCCGCTCGCGTTTTCTGCTCCAAGCATCCCTGAGGAGCCAAGCTGGGAGAGGGGCGGTGCTGTGCCCACCCTGGGGGTCGTCCCCACGCTGGATTTCCTCCTGCCCAGCCCCGCTCTGGCACGGTGCTGCCCGGCACACGTGGCCCCGCTGGACCCGTGCCACCGGCGTGCCCGGCTCCATCCCGGCTGCCTCCCTTCGGGATGACGTAACCCCGGCCACGGTTGCCTCAGAACGCTCCCGGCTCGGTAGGAACCCATCCCCCGGGCGCACCTGTCCGGTGGGACAAGGTCCGGGCAGATCTTCCCCCGCCCCGGCCACACGCCCCGCGGGAGCCGCCTGCCCGCTCCGCTGCGATTTTGGGAAGGGGCGGTCGCGACAGCGGCGACCCGACCCGCGAGGTGCCGGGCAGGAAAGGTGGCTGAGGATGCGAGGATGGGGATCCGTGCTTGGGATGCTGCCTGCAGCGCTCCCGCCTCGCGCATCATCCCCTCTCCATCGCCAGCGCAGGTGAGGGGCATTCCCCGGGCCGCGGGGAAAACGGGAGCTACAAGGGAAAGGTTTGGGTCTGAAAAGGAGAATTCCATGTTTTTTATCTCTGCATCTGCAAACTAGCTTAGACATCATCCCGGAGCTCCTGGTGGAAATCCCAGCGGAGAGGAGAGATTCCTGCTGGGAGTTTTCTCCGGCGTCACCCTCCGGGGAGGGGGGACGGAGGGCGGGCAAAGTTCGGCTCCTATAAAGGCAGCTCTGGTCCTCTTCATTCATTCATCCCCCTGGCAGCAGCACGTCCGGGCTCTGCGGAAGAGCTGGGAGCGAATCGTGCCCCGAAGCCGCGGGGTTTGTGCGGGATGCCGAGCGCAGCGATGCCCGCGGCCGCCCTCACCTGCCTGCAGCTCCTGCTGCTCCTCTCGGCCGCGGACTGCCGGCCCCACACGTGGGACCAGGACCGCTTCCAGCTGGAAGCCGTCAAAAAGGAGATCCTGGAGCGGCTGGGAATGCCGGCTCCCCCCGCCGCCCGCCGCCAGCTGGACCAGGAGAGCATCCGGAGAGCGCAGCGGCTCTACCGGCAGAGAGCTGCGGAGCTGGCGGGGAACTGGAGCCGGGAGGAGGAGGAGGAGGAGGAAGCCGTGCCCAGGAGCCGGCGGCTGCACCGCCTGACCCCCACCTGTAAGTGGCCGTGGCTCCGGGTCACCCCCCGTCCCTCAGGGCCAGGGACACGCGTGTGTGTCGCGCCCTCGGGAGTGTCACCCCCGTGCCTGGGGACATGACCGGGCATGCAGCACGGGGCCGCGCTCGTCCTTGTCCTGCTCCTTCCTTGGCCCTGGGAGCGGGGAGGAGCCGGCGCTGGAGACGTTTTGCTTAAAACCATAAAAAATCAGAGGGGTTTGGGGTGGAAGCTTTGATCAGAGGCAGCTCGGGGGCTCGGAGTGGGGCTCGAGGGGTTTGGGGTGAGCGGGAGGAAGAAGTGAGGTGCCATCTCCCCGATCCCCAGCTCCAGTTTGGGGGTTTATCTGCGTCTGGGGGGGAATTAAATAATTACATTAATTAATTAATATTAAAATTTAAATGAAATAATTTAAATAATTCCCCTCCTGCTGCTTGGGCTGGGTGGGGACAGTCGCGGGCTGGGTGCTCCAGTGGGTCCCGGGACGCCTTTTCTGGCACCAGGAAAACTGAGACCCTCCAGCCCGGGGCTCCAGGAGTGGATGGGATGCTGGAATTTGCGGTGGGATGCTGGGTGTGGGTGATTCCCTGGAAGCAAATCCTTGGCTGCCTGGCCGGAGCTGCTCCCAGCGCTGCTGAGGAATTAATTTAATTACCGTCTCTTACATCAGCTGTCACCTCTGTCCCCGCAGTGTTGCGCTGGCCGGACATCCCCGAGGGACACGAGGACCCTCAAGGCCACCGCGACGCCCAGGGACACCGGGAGGCCCTGGGTCCCTACCGCTACCACCTCCTGCTGTCCCGCACGGCGGATTTCCACCGGCAGCTCCGCGTGGTGCAGGCGGAGCTGAAGCTCCTGCAGCGGCCGCTGTCCCCTCCCGGCGCCTCGGTGCCACCGCGGGTCACCATCTCCACCCTGCGGGGGGCTGAGGGCACCCCCCAGCTCCTGCGCAGCCAGGAGCTGCGGCCGGATTCCCGCAGCCTGGACCTGACAGCAGCCATCCAGCCCTGGGCGGAGGGGCCCGAGGCCGCGCTGCGCCTGGAGCTGGAGTTCAACACCGACATCTCGGCTGCCCTGGCCACCTCCGGGGGCGACACGCTGGTGCTGGAGGTGGAAACCCTGGAGAAGGCACCTCGGGCGGCCAGGAGAGCCCGGGGGCTGGAGGAGGAGTGCGGGAGGAGCGAGGGGAAGTGCTGCCTGAAGTCGCTGAAGGTCTCCTTCCAGGACATCGGCTGGTCGGACTGGGTGATCGCCCCCAACAGCTACTACATGAGGTTCTGCGAGGGCTCCTGCCCCCACAACTACAAACCGGCCAGCATGCACGCCCAGATCAAATCCAGAGTGCACTCCCTGTCCAAGGCTGCGCCCCCGCCCTGCTGTGTCCCCGCGGGGTACGACCCCATGGTGCTGATGCACCTGGACAGCGAGGGCAGGCTGGTGTCCAGCCTCTTTGAGGACATGCTGGTCACCAGGTGCCACTGTGCCTGACAGCTCCGGCTTTGCCCGTCCCGCTGGGGCAGAGCCGTCCTGGCTCCTGGCAGCTCCAGCACCCCAAAATCCTGTGGCACCGAGGGACTCCAGCCCTGGATCCAGCACTGAGCTCAGCCAGGGGTCTCCAGCTCCAGCATCCCAAAATTCAGGTTTTGTGACACCAAACGAATCCACACCAGCCCTGGATCCATCACTGAGCTCAGCCCTGGGGTCTCCAGCTCCAGCATCCCCAAATCCTGTGGCACCAAGTGACTCCACGCCAGCCCTGGCTCTGTTCAGCCCTGGGGTCTCCAGCTCTGTCACCCAGCTCAGCCCCAGCATCTCCAGTTGTGACCTCTCTACCAAAATAACTTATTCCCCTGGCTCTTCTCTACTTTAAATCCATATTTTGTTGTGCAGGTGGATCCTTCCCACCCAAGAGACCCCGAAGGGCTGGGGTGGGTCCGTGCCCAGGTGTCCATGTCCCACTCCAAACCTTCTCTGCTCAGAGACTTATTTATGCAACCCAGTTATTTATTTCTAACTTATTGTATTTTATAGCAAAATATCCTTTTTTTTTTTGGGAGGGAAAGAGGGAAGGGTTTTGTGGTTTTCTAATTTATATATTTCTATAAAACCAGAAGGATGTAAAAATAATGAATAAAGTGATTGTAACGGGGATTCTGGCTGCTCCTCCTGCACACCTGGGGGGTCTCTGACAGGACCCCTGCTCCTGGGACCCTCAGCTCCCCTGGGATTTGCCTCCCTGTGGATTTGCTGGTAAATCCTCACGGCTCTGCAGTGCCAGCGTGTGAGTAATGCCTGGGCACTGCTCCCAGAGACCTTTGAGTTGTTTGTGTCCTTGGGAAGGGCGCTGGGCACAGCTCTGACCCCTGGGGGTGACGTCCAGCTGGGAGGTGACCATTGCCCCACTTCCAGGTGCCTCCAGCCCTGGGACCCCGTGGGCACCAGAGGGATGGGGGAACCCCCCTGGGGGCTTGGTGGCACACACGGCGTCCCCAAGGCCTCCCCGTGGCTCCGTGGGGTGGCTCTGCTGGTCACAAATCCTTGCTGTCCCCTCTCCCAGTGTGACCTGGGGGTGTCCTGGGCTGCCCAGTCCCTCAGCAGCTCCTGCTGGGCTTGGGGCAGGTGGGACGTGGGGTCTCTGCTCTGGGGTGGGGGTTTTGGGGACCAGGGACTGAGGGATGCAAGGTGTGGACATGGCCTCTCTGGGGACAGGGACAGGAGACACCTGGCTTTTGGCCCCTTGGGACCCCCACTTTGGGGACACAGACCCTGGGAGCCCCCAGGAAAACCCCACATCCTGCCCAGGGCTTCCCACAGACCACGAGCTGTGCAGGTAATTAGAGATAATTCAACCATTTAATGAAGCCTCCCAGGGACTGGGGGACACCCAGGAGTCCCTGTGTCCCAACAGCTCGGGGTGTCACCAGGAGGATTTTTAAAAGGAGCTTTTTCTTTGTTCCCCAAAGCGGCAGATTTAGCAGGAAAAGATTGAGCAGGTGCCACCGGATGTCCCCAACCGCCAGCGCACAGCCCCGTCTCCGTCGGCCCAGAAAGGGGAAGAGGAAGCCAAGGCCAGGGTCAGCCCCGCTCAGCCAGGCCGAGCTCAGCCAGGCTGAGCCCAGCTCCAACTCCTCCAGGCTGAGCCCAGCCCCAGCTCCAGAGCTGAACCCAGCCTGGCTGAGCCAATGCTGAGCCCAGTCCCAGCTCCAGAACTGAGCCCAGCCCCAGCTCAGCCAGGCTGAGATCAGCCAGGCTAAGCTGAGTCCCAGCTCCTCCAGGCTGAGCCCAGCCCTGCTCAGCCAGTCCTGAGCCCAGCTCCAACTCCTCCAGGCTGAGCCCAGCCCCAGCTCCAGAGCTGAACCCAGCCTGGCTGAGCCAATGCTGAGCCCAGTCCCAGCTCAGCCAGGCCAAGCTCAGCCAGGCTGAGTCCAGTCCCAGCTCCAGTCCTGAGCCCAGCCCGGCTGAGCCAATGCTGAGCCCAGCCCCAGCCCAGCCGGGCCGAGCCCAGCCCCGCTGCAGCCGGCCCGGGCCAGCGCCGTCCCCAGGCCCCGGTGGCGGATGTGGCACCCGCTGTCCCCGCGGTCGGTGGCCGCAGCCCCGGCAGGAAACGCCAGCTCAGCCCCCGGCTCCGCCTGAGAACTGGGGCGGAGGAGCGGCCGGGGCTGCCAAAAAAACCCCCTGCAAAAAGCGGGGTGTGCGTGTGCCCCTGCCCAGGGGACTGTCCCTGTCCCTCCGGGCCGGGGGACAGCCGGGGAGGGGCACAGAGGGTCCCGGCAGTGCCCCGGCCCCTCACTGCTCAGCGATGATGTAGATGTCCTCGGTGGGGCCCAGCGTGTTGGCGTAGATGGGCTGGTCCCCGGCATCGCTCTCCAGGAAATAATCCTCGTCCAGCAGGACCTGGGGGCTGGGACAGAGGGTCAGGGAGGGGGAGGGCCGGGGTGGGGTGGATGGGTGGGATGGATGGGATGGGATGGGATGGATGGGGTGGAAAGGGATGGATGGGATGGGATGGAAAGGATGGAAAAGATGAACAGGAAAAGATGGCACAGCATGGAATGCCAGAGAATGGGCTGGGATGGATGGATGGATGGATGGATGGATGGATGGATGGATGGATGGATGGATGGATGAATGGATAGATGGATGGATGGGATGGAAAGAGATGGATAGGAAAAGGGATGGATGGGATGGAAAGGATGGAAAAGATGAACAGGATAGGATGGCACAGCAGGGGCTGGGCTGAGAATGGATGGAAAGGGATGGATGGGAGGGCGGGCTCTGCACAGGATGGAGGGGGATGAGGCCGCACGGGGCAGCACAGCCCGGCAGGGCACAGCCCGGCAGGGCACAGCCCGGCAGGGCACAGCCCGGCAGGGCACAGCCCGGCAGGGCACAGCCCGGCAGGGCACAGCCCGGCAGGTAGGGATGGAGCCCCCGGGTGCCCATTCCCTGCTCCGCAGCCTCACCTGCAGCGCGGCTCCCGCCCGGCCGGTGCCCATCCCCGCGGGCCGCCCGGGGCCCTGCCGGGGCTCACGAACACGTTCTCGTAGTCGGGGCTGTCGGTGCCGCCGCCGCTCCCGGTGTCCCGGCTGATGTAGCGCGGCTGCCGCAGGTCTCCAGCGGGCTCCGGCTTCCCCCTGCCCGCGCCGCCCACCGCGGCTCCCGCTCTCCTCCGCCGGCACCGAACCGCGGCCACCAGCGCGGCCACCAGCGCGGCCACCGCCGCGGCCACCGCGGCCACCAGCCCCGCGCCGGGCCCGCACTCCCGGCCGTGGAACTCCGTGACGTTGAAGGGATGCCGGCGGGACGTGAGGCACAGGCAGGCGATGCCCGGGCGGGCACAGGGCGCCAGGACCGTGCCCAGCAGGTCGCAGCGGCACGACACGGTGAGGGAGCTGAGCGCGGGCTGGAAGGCGGCGGGGGGCACGGCGGGCAGGGGGTTCCCCTCCAGGCTCAGGCTCCGCAGCGCCGTGGCGTTGCTGAAGAAGCCGCGGGGCAGCTCCCGCAGCCGGTTCCCCGCCAGGTCCAGCTCCTCCAGGCGCGGCCCCAGGCGGGCCGAGGGGCTCAGCGCCTCGATGCCGTTGTTCCTGAGCAGCAGCCGCCGCTGCCGCCCGAACGGGCTCCAGTCCAGCTCGGCACAGCCGCTGCTCCTGTTGCTCAGGTCCAGCTCATCGGAGAAGTTCAGCACCAAGGGGAAACACGGGGACACGATGAGGAAGGGGCTCGCGGGCAGCGGCAGCAGCAGCAGCAGCAGCGGGGCCGCAGGGACCCCCATGGTCCTTCCCCTGCAGCGGAGCCGGGTGGGAAACGGGATCAGGACCCCCACGGCCAGCGGACCCCCCCTCCCAGTGCAAACCAGTGCGGCCCAGTCCGGCCCCCACCCCGATGCTGGGCAGCTCCTGGGGGTCCCAGCGGGGCATTTCCTGCCCCCCTTCCCCCTCGCAGCCCCCGCAGCCCCACTCGCCTGCGCTCCGGCCGCCGCTGCCTGGTGTGGGGAAGAGGAACAGGCGGGTCCGGCTGTCCCGTGTCACCCTGCCAGGGCGTAGCCGGCCCCGGGGGGGGCAGGGGGGCAGCACCCCCACCTCGGCACCCCCTGACCCTGCCAGACCCCCCGGTCCTTTCTGGGGTGCTGAGCATCCCCCTGGCGCTGGCTGAGGGTCCCGGTGACCCCGGTGACCCGAGGGGTGGGGGACACGCTCGTGAGCACACAGACCCCCCCCGCGGCAGCACAGGGACCCCCCGAGTGTGAGGGGACCCCGGGGCCGGTGGGAGTCAGGGGGCTCTGTGGCTGTGTCCCCTGGCACGGTGGCTGTCCCCACGCCGGTGTCGCCTCCCCGTGTCTCCGTCTCAGTGTCCCGAGTGCCTCGTGTTCGTGTCCCCTCCCCGTGTCCGAGCCCCCTCCGGTGTCCGTGTCCCCCCACGGCCACCCCGCTGTGTCCATCCTCGTCCCTCCGTGTCCCCACCGCGTCCCCGCGGTGTCACACCGTGTCCGTGTCCGCCCCCTGGTGTCCGAGTCCCTCCGTGACTCCCCGCTCCCGTCCCTGTCCGTGTGTCCCCCTGTGGTGTCCGCGTGTCCCTCCGTGTCCATGTGTGCCCAACCCCTGCCATGTGTCCCCCCCGTCGTGTCCGCGTCCACCCGTCACATCCGTGTCCCCGTGTGTCGCGTGTCTGTGGCCACCCCCCTGCGCCCCTCCGTGTCCCTCCTGTCCCCCTCCCCTCGTGTCGCTGCCCCTTTAAGTCCACCCCATCGTGTCCGTGTCCACCCTGTCACATCCGCGTCCCCCGTGTCCCCCCTCCCATGTCCACCCCTTCATGTCCGTGTCCCTCCGTGCCCACCCTGCCACATGTCACCCCCTGCACCCCCCGTGTCGGTGCCACCCCCTCGTGTCCCTCCGCGCCCGCGTCCCCTCGTGCCGCTGCCCCTTTAACTCGCCCCCTCGTGTCCCTGACCCCCCGTGTGCCCCCATCCCTGGCTGCCCACCCCCCTCGTGTCCCCTCATGTACGCCAAGGGCAAGGGCTCCGGCGTGCCCTCGGACGGCCAGGCCCGCGAGAAGTGAGTGCGGCGCCGGGCGGCGGCGGGGGACGGCCGGGGCGCGGAAGTTTTTGCCGGGGCGGGCGCCGGGGGAGCGGGGACGGAGCGGGAAGGAAGGGAGAGGGCTGGGGGGGAGACAGCGGGAAAAGCGGGGGGAGATCGGGGGGCGGGCGGACCCCCCGGCCCCGCCCCGCCGGGGAGCACCGGCAGCCGCGGGGCAGCGGGAGCGGCGGGGGTCAGCCGGGCACCGGGAGCCGGGGCGAGTCCCCCGGTCTGCGGCATCCCCCGGGGCACCGGGAGCCGGGGCGAGCCCCCCGGTCTGCGGCAGCCCCCGGGGCACCGGGAGCCAGGATGAGCCCCCCGGTCCGTGCTATCCCCCGGGGCACCGGGAGCTGCGATGTGCCGACGTCCCTGGCATCCCCCGGGGCACCGGGAGTCGCGATCACGGCGGGGTAACGGGAGCCGGGATGTGCCCCCCGGGTATTGCCACATCCTGGGGCACCGGGAGCTGCGAGGGCACCGCGACCCGGGCTGATCTGCCCGGTATCCCCGGGGGCACCGGCAGCCCGGATGCCCATTCCCCGGCCGTGCCATCCCCCGGGGCACCGGGAGCCGGGCTGAGCCCCGGCGCACCGTGACCCGCGGTGGCACCGCGGCCGCCGGGCCGTGCCCGGTCCGCAGCATCCCCGAGGGCACCGGGAGCCCTCCCCGGCCGTGCCGTCCCCCGGGGCAGCGGGGACCGGAACGCACCGGGGCTCCCGGTGCCCAGCACGGTGACCCGCCCTCCCCGCTGTCCCCGTCCTGCCGGGTCCCCGTGCCCGAGGCCACCGCGGCCCCCCCGGGGCTGTGACCCCCGCGGGTCCCGGGAGGGGACGGAGCCCCGGGGGACACGCGTGGTGGCACCCGGCCCTGAGCCACATCCTGCGTGGGTCGTGTCGCCTGTCCTGGAGCCACCCCGGCGGTGCCACCGGTGGGTGTCACCCGGTGCCACCCGTGTCACCTCGCAGGGAGGTGACAGCGAGCCTCCCTCGTGAGTTCTGCACTGAGTGGGGGGCTCCGTCCTGGCTGTCCCGCGGGGTCCCCGGGGGGTGGGGATGTCCCCGGGGGGGTGGCCGGTCCCTCACAGTGTCCCTGTCCCCGTGCTGTCCCCCCAGGCTGGCGCTCTATGTCTACGAGTACCTGCTGCACGTGGGGGCCCAGAAATCCGCCCAGACCTTCCTGTCGGAGGTAAGGGGAGGGGGCGGCACCCCCGACCCCCCCATGGCACCCACGGGGGATCCTGGAGCCCCTCCCACCCCGGGTGGGGGTCTGACCCCCCCGTGTCGCCCCCCAGATCCGATGGGAGAAGAACATCACGCTGGGGGAGCCCCCCGGCTTCCTGCACTCCTGGTGGTGGTGAGTTGGGGTCTGGGGGGGCTGGAAAGGGGGGACCCCCCCTCATTCCTGTGCCAGAAGGGCTGGGAGGGGGTCTGGGAGCCGCCCCCCGCCCCGTTCTGCCCCCACATCACCTCGTACCCCATAAACCTGTCCCTCTGCTTTTCCCATCAGCGATTTGGGGGCCCCCCCTTCCCTCCCGGCCCGGCCCCCCCGCCCGGCTGCTCCAGATGGATCCAATTTGGCACCGGGAGAGGAGCTGGGGGGGCTCCCGGCCCCGGGGCTGGACCCCCGCGCTGGGGGGACCCCCAGGAGGGTGTGGGGGGGCTCGGCTCTGGGGGGGGTCACCCCTCCTCACCCCCTCCCCAGCGGTGTCACTGCAGGAATGGGGCTCACTGGGACCCCCCCCACACTGAGGGGACCCCCCCAGAGCAGCTCGGGGGGTTCAGGGTTGGCACAGGGTCAGCAGCCCCCGGTGGCCCCGTCCTGCCCCTGCCAGGGCTGCGGGGGCACCGTGCCCCGGGGTGGGCAGGGGTCCCCGGGGTGGGGAGGGGTCCCCGGGGTGCTGTGGGGTGTAGGGTGAGGCTGGGGGGGGTGCAGGGTTCACAGCCCCACGGGATGCAGGAAGCTGTGGGATCATGCAGGAGACTGTGGGGTGATGCAGGATGCTCTGGGATGTTGTAGAAAGCTGTGGGATGCTGTGGGATGCTGTAGGATGTTGTAGGATGCTCTAGGATCATGTAGGAAGCTGTGGGGTGTTGCAGGATGCTGTAGGATGCTGTGGGATGCTGTGCCCCCCTGGGGTGCAGAAAGCCTCGGGGTGCTGGGGGGGGGTCCCTGTCCCTTGGGGGGACACCCAGAGTGCCACAGGGGGGGCTCTGGGGGCTGCAGGACCCTCCATGCCCCAGGACCCTGCAGGGCCCACGCCGAGCTGCTGCCCCCAGGAAACCCCTGACCCCCGGGGGGTCCCGTGGGGGTCCCTGGGGTTCCTGTGGGGTCCCAGTGGGGGTCTCTGGGGTCCCTGTGGGGTCCCGTGGGGGTCCCTGTGGGGGTCTCTGGGGTCCTGTGGGGTCCCTGGGGGTCCCTGGGGCCGCGCTGGCGCCGCGGGGGCTGCAGCAGGACCCCCCCCCCCGCCGCCCTGGCGCCGGGGGGGCTCCAGCAGGACCCCCCCCCCGCCGCCCCCGGCCCTGCGGCGCTGATTGCCGTGCCGGAATTAATGAATTAATGAATTAATGAGGCTGGCGGTGCCGGTGCCGCCGGGGCCGCGGCGCGGGTCAGGCCGCGTTGCCATGGCGCTGCAGCCTGGCACAGCCGGGGGGGAGCCCCCCGAGCCCCCCATGGC